GGCCTGGGCAGCATGTGGGCAGTGCCCAGTGGCTGAGGCTGCCCTGACCATGGTGTTGGGGCCTGTCTGCAGCCTGTGACTCTGGCCTAGTGCAGGCTACTACCCTTGACTGCTACCTGTCTTTCCACAAGCTGCTCCTGAACCTCCACGGAGATCACAAGTAAGTGCCGAGTTTCTGAGTGCGCTGCCCCCCTCCCCACCTGCCAGCTCAGGGCATGGAGTCACTTCCCCTTCCTCTCAGTACTTCCAAAAGCACTTGAGAATTTGCCACATTTCCTGAAAGTTTCCAAGTCAGCTCCAGGAACCTGGTTCTTTATGATTCCCTGTTCACGGGTGAGGAAACTGAGGCATGGAAACACTGGTTTCCACAGAGTGCATCCTGCCTCCCGGGCCCCACATGGAGCGACTCCCAGCTAGAATTCCTAGCCAGCGCCTACTGGTGTTTCCTGTGAGCCAGGCGCTCCCTCCAGGCAGTTAACGGAATCCCCGCAGCGACCCTGGGCAGGTGCTACTTGTGTGTGCATTTTAAAGCTGTAGAGGGTGGCCCTGAGAAGCAAGTCACTTGCCAAGAAGGACAAACAGCTGCCGGGGGCCACTGGGTCCGGCTAGGCTTCCCACCCCTGTCCTGTGTGCCCGGAGCCCCGTGCTCCTGATGGTTCTGCTCTCTGGATCCCCAGCGAGGGCCGGAGCCCTGGGGGTATAGGGGTGTCTTGTTGGTTTGCTCACTGAGAGATCAGTGGCTCGGGGGCCACCAGCCGCTCCACAGGAGCAAGAAGAGTCTGGCAACAGTGGGCCGGCCGGCAGGGCCAGGCGGTGCCGCCTTCTGTGGTACAGAGGATGGCTGTGAGCCAGAGGCATCCAATGCCACCACCAACACTGGCACAGAGGGTTACGGACTCGCAAACCCACAGGTGCAGTCACGCCTATGGGCAGAACTATGGGCAGACCTATAGGCGAGGCGCTAGAGGTCACTAGGAGTTGCAATTCACCAAGGGCAGTGAGTGAATCCTGCCCGGAACTCTGAGTAGCTCCATTGCCCAGGGAGGCCACTGAGGCTCAGAGAGGCAAAGGGACACTTACAGGCCATATAGTCACTGGTAGCTGTCCTCGGGGGTACCTGGAGGGAGGACAGGGGAACGCTCAGTCATAGGTGGACCCGGGCCCCAGTGTGTCCCTGCTTGTGACACCAGGCAGCCGCCGTGCGGCACGGCACAGGCCCTCCGGGGGAACTCTGGGTGGAGCATCGCAGCCCTGTGAGCCCTCGGGTGGCCCTGCCCCTCTGCAGCTCCTCAGTGAGCTCCGCTGTGGGGTGGGCTGGATGCCAGCAGCCTGCAGGGGCGGGCGGTCAGAGCCCTGCAGCAGGTGATCCCTGTGTGTTTGTCCCCTCAGGCCTGGCTGGTTCCAGCAGCTGTTCACGAACTTCATCTCCTTCACCCTGAAGATGATCTTGAAGGGACAGGTGAGGAGGCCTGGTGGCCCCGCCCAGGCCCGCCCCCCCCCACCAACTCCTTCCAGCGAGGGAAGCACCACCCTTGACCCGACTGTGGCCTCTCCCCAGGTCTGCAGAGAAGTTGACATCATCAGCAACATCATGGCCGACTTTGTCCAGAAGAGAGCTGGTGAGTGCGCCATGAGGGCAGTGTGGGGGTCGGAAGTGCCCTTGTGGCCACTGTGTGACTTTGAGACCTGAGCCACCCCTGCTGGTCTCTGGCCTCTGTCTGACTCTGACTCAGGGCAACCAGTCAGACTCA